GAACAAGCCATACACGCCCAGACTGCATTTGCACTGGATTTTCCTGAATCCATTTTTTCAATAGCTGTTCTGCAATTTGCTTAAGTAGCTGAGCCCACAATCTCAGTTTGAACATTTTAAACTGCTTGGCATGGATTTAAGTGCCGTCTGCCAAAACACGCATATTAGCCTTTGAGCTGAGCTTGTCTAGGTAACGTGTTCGTCAGCAGAATGCCCCATAAACAACCTGTGCCACATGTGCTGTCCCTGCCATCAAATATTTATACTCTTTTACTAGCATCAGTACACAGCAAGTCTTTCAGCTGATAGAGGACAACAGGGAGACAGTGAAAGGTGTAGTTAAAACTCCACTGTCTCTGGCTTACTTAAAAATGAACAAGGCAGAACTACAGCAAAAATAAGACTACTGCTTAATGCCAGGCATAAGTTTGTTCTGTAGAAAGCAAGCAAAGGAATGACAATATTTCTTTAAATACGTACTTCCTGCTGCCTCCTTCATTTGTAATTAAAATACCAGTGACAAATATCAAACCACTACCCTACAAAGCTGGATCTTTGTGACGCAAACATTTTAAATCTAGGTCAGACTCTAATTAAAAAAGACTACGGATTTAATTGCCCCCCGCAAAAAAAAGTCTTCCCAGTCTTCTGCGATCTCACTACATTTCAGTAGGAGATGCATCGGTATGTGCAAGGTCAAGTTCCACAAATTTGTCTCCCCAGATCTACAGAGAATTTGGTCCTATGTGCTTTCATACAGAAAACCGGAATTCCACTCTGCTTTTTTCTGATAAACAGATACAAAAATAGGAAAAGCCATCTATAAAGCTTTAAAAGTTAAACCAGAGTTAAATACACATCTGGACCTCCCTCTCCTACTAACAGCATAGCTTAATTATGAGAAGTTTAAATTGGCAAGCAAGCAGTTTACCAGGGCGAGAAGGCAGCGATGTGGATGGAACACTTGGCAGTCTGACGTCTCTCATTCCCTTGTTCAATTCTTCTTGCTCCAGTTCTTCTAGTTCTGCCATCAACTCATCCTAAATTCAAGGAAAACATTATTTACAAATTCATTGTCCTGACAGCAATCTCAGGCAAGGGCTCTTTTAACAATCAGGACACAAAATCCTACAGCATATCACAAGTATAATTTTTACTAAGTGTCAGTGATAACAATAAACCTCAATTGAAAGTTAGAAACAGGACAAGGAATAAAATTAGTAAGCAAACTGACGGCAGTGTAGTACTCAAAGGCAAACGGGGGGCGGGTGTGTGTGTGTTCCCTCTGCCTTCCTCAGGTTTGTTCCAAATCTAGAGCGTGTAACTCTTTAACAGATTCTAATTTTAACGTGAGGTTTCTCCCATTTTAAAAAGCAAACAGCTTCCACTGGTTACAAGCTAGACTGTCATTAATCATCATGCTTCAGCCCTATCACACACGTTCAGAATTATATATGATTTCAAAGCAGCACTAAAATCAGAGCTGTCCTCCTGGGTCCTGTTATTCACTCTTGAAGCATGTAACACTCTTCAGCTTTTAGCTGCAGAAGCCGATTTGGACAGATGATCTAATCCATGTGTATCATACAAAAAAGGCTATATGCAGTTTAAAAAAGACAAAGACTTATCCCTTGGCTGGAGTCTCCCAAAGAAAGGAAGCTAAATGTTACATATTTGCATAGAAATGTACCTTTGCCATGTTGATAAAATGATTTTGAAAGAAACAATAGGCAAAAGTGGCTCAGGAAAAAGTGCCTGTAGCAAAGTTAGATCTACTAGGTATTGAAATGGACTTTGCCTACCTATTTATACCTTGCTTACCACCAATATGGAAGTTAAAATGATAATGACATAGCTACCACAGGCCTTCCTAGACTGACTTTCTCATGTTTTAGTATTTTAAGGCCAAAAAAAGGCTACAGTTTGCCTACCTGACCTAGGTCACAGTGCAAATCCTAAGATATCATCTAAAAATTCCAGCATCAGGTCTACACCTGCTAACGTTCAATTGACAGCTGATCTCTGAAAGACATGCGCAAGCTGGGGCCCCACGTCTAACTCAGGCCCCTAGCTGAGCTGCAAACACATCTGTACTTGACGTGCCTCAGTCAGTGGTGTGAATACAAGTTTCTTACAAAGTCAGTATCCAAGCTGTCATAAAGCCAATGAAAACAGGTATTTCTGAAGACCTCTCTCTAGATGGTCATCTAACACTATCCCACACCAAATTAGTCCTTACCAACCTCTGCTGAACAAGTAAACAATTAAGAGGTGTGTCAGCCACGACAAGTTCTCTTAAAAAATAAAGGAAATAAAAAAAAGGAAAAAAAAAAAAAAAAGAGGTAAGGGAAATCGTGATCATGACCCCTACACCTTTAACATAATATTGTAATGGCTAGAACATTTGCTCTTGAAGAAGGAGACTCAAGTTTTACGTTCTTCTCATCCTCAATCATGGATTTAACTTCTATTTCCCACAACTCAGGAACTGCTCTACGACTAGACTGTGTAGTATTGCAATAGCTACAACAAATCCCCTTTCTCCTTTTGAACCTAGGCCAAAAGGAGAGCAGAGGGAAGACAGCATGTGAACTTTCAGGTTCCAGGCTTTGTCCACTGGAATGTGTGTATTTTGCATTTTATTACCAGAAACGGGACTCCAGGCAAGGATGTTCCCTCCCAGTGAGGATCCCACCCAGGTAGAACAGAGCTTTTTTGCATTCTTCATGACATACACAGTGTCAATCCAGGGAGAAAGAACCCTTGTGTTTTTGTGTCTATCTGGAGCAGCAGAAATCACACACTTCCACAATCTCCTTAACAACAAATTTTCAGATGATCCTAAGTGCCTTGTGGAGATTTCAGAAGAAAAGACCTCAAGGAAGAAACCCTATTGCCTCCAACAGGAATTACTTCTACCTAACCTACTTCTGTGGAAAATCTGGAAAACAGGGAAAGGACCTGCACCTTCAAGCACCAAAAACAGACCTTAAAAAAATGGTCCAAATATTCAGAATTGTGAACAGCGGCCTGTTCACGGCATAGGAACCTGCACTTAGTCAAACGGATGTCTATTTGGAGCACACAAAATTATATGTTTCAGTGTCTACTTGGAGAAGTACAAATTACACGTTTTAGTGACCTTCTCCTTCCATAGTACAAATAACAACAACAGGAATGCAGTTAAAATTGCCATTTTAAAATTTATATATAAATAAGATTATTTTTATATTTTACATATAGATTTTTAAAATATTACATATATTACTAATTTTATTTATTTATATGTATGTGCGTGTGTGTATATAAAAACATCCTAGATATGGTAAGCTAGAACCAAGGGATTTCACTTCTGCACCTTTTGAGAAATAAACCACTGAAACAAGCTACCGCACAACAAAATAACCATGGAGTCATTTAACAGCTAAAACTCATAGGCTTTACCGAAGTACTAACCTCATCAAACTCCTCACCAAAGGCAGCTCGGTTTGAGATGGCGTCTGAAATTTCCTGGGCAACATCCTGCTGTTCAGTGATATCTTGCATCAAATCATCAATTTTGTTCAAGTCCCTGGCAAGACAATATGGAAACATTTTTTCAAAGACAGATCATCCAAACCCTACAGAAGGGACTCCCGAGAAACTTGAACAGACCCCATTTTCTTTTTATGCCCATGGCTGTATAGACAGCAGAACTCACAGGGAATAATTTCCCTCACCTCCACCTTAATGTTTCCTGGGAAGCTTTTGTGTGTTTTAGCCAGTCCAATTTCTTCCACTGTGGGATTGTAACAAAAGTCAACCTGCAGCAGTCTGTGTCTCTCTCCCTCTCTGTGCTTCTCGTACCTCTGCCAGCCAAGAGTCACATGCCCTGGGCAGATCCCATCTCATTCCCAAGGTCAGCATGTTTATAGAGGGATCTTTTTTGATGTTAAGCTTTCACCAGAACTGGGAGAACTTAACAGGACTATACCCTATTTAAAAGCTTCCCCTTATTGTTAACTTCATCACTGTTTGAGTTCCTGTTTAATTCTCCCAGAACAACCTTTCTGATCTAACTCTGTTTATTCAGGCAGAAAAATGACTCACAAAACAATATGGGACATATTAAAATACTACACACACAAAAAAATACCGTCTCTTTTATACAGGTCTGATAAGTACTTTGAATCGCACAGCTCAGCTTACGGACTTTGAGGAAAAGAGTCCACTTAACTTCTTCAACTAAGTTTTCGTCTGGAAAAATCAAGGGCAGAGGCCAGTCTCTACTGCCAAGGCAGATTTAAAAAAAAAAACAGGTACCACACAGATCTCTCTAGTTAGCTGGACTTCCTTCTAGACTTGCTGTTAAGAAATTTATTTTTCTGCCAAATGTAACATTACAGCACCAATAGCATTCCTGATACTAAATGCCTGAACCCAAAACGAAGTCAAAACTGCTTGACTTGATACAATGGACTATAGCCATGAAATGGTTTGAAAGTCGTTAGTAAGCTCAAACTGAAAGCTATTAGAAAGCACTTACATATTTTCATGCACTTTTTTCATAGCTTGTGCAGCATAACCCATATTCTTGAGCACTTCTGTGTTGGTGTGGGAATTTTCCAATGCCTCTCTCTGGAACTCAATGGTCGAAAGCGTCCCATCAATTTGACTCAACTGTTTCTCGTATCTCTTTTTTCTCTTCAGCGCTTGTAAGGCAGCTGGAAAGCAAAGAGGCAAAGTGCACTGTGTATTTTCATAGCAAAATGCAAGGATAAGTAGTTCAGCACCAAGCCGACCTGCAGAATTTATAATTCTCACTCTCCTACCTTACTAGCAGTGAGACAAACTTTGACCACACCAGATCAGCAGCCTGTTTATCACCAACATGCTGTTGCATGAACATGCTGGGAAGCCTCTTTTAGATTAACTCCTCAGCACCACAGGGAAGAGCAGCTTCTTCCTCCACTGCGGGAGACCTTGAACTCCATCCTGTGCACACAGGCAAAGCAGGGAAGATGGGGAGGAAAAAGAAAAACATCAGAGAGAAGCCAGAAAGGAGGAAACAGGAGAAAGAAAGAAAAGAAGAGGTTGTAAAATGTAAGTAAAAACTAAGGAAGACAGAGTAAGCAGAGCTGTCATGATTATCACACCTCCACCAATGCTGCCTTCTGAACTTTGTCTCAGCAGCGGAAACTGTCAAATGCAATGGAAAGCCCAAAGAGCCTAACCAAGCAGGTGGGTGAGACCAGAGAAGGACTTGCACTTCTCTGGCTTTCAGCTGCATCTGTTTCTTGCAATCACTTCGGAGCATGATCTTTAAACCTTAGAACTTGAAAACATACAGAACTTTGTAGACACGGCCACAGTCAAATCCAGCTACTCCCCATGATGGCTGTAAATCGTTGCGATTAGTCTTTTATATTTGCTAAGTTATGAGCAGCATACTTTGCCCAGAGTAAATCATTACCAGAATAAATGCACGTGACAAGCAGGAGGAGAAAAGGGCTTTCTCTCGGCCTCTGGGTGTGGGATACACACAATCTTGCCACGAGCATTTCCTGACAACTGTCCTTTCCAAACTACCCATGTGTCAGGCAAGGAAAAAATCACACAAATCCAGAAGAGGCTAAGTTGAACCCTAGCTTTTTCAATGCTATTAATACCCATGTCCTTTCCCTTGCCTTGCAATTTTTAAACCAGGTTCAGAGCCAGCAAACAGCAGCAGCACTGCAGCCCCCCAACCTCAAATGACCGACAGCAGCAGTTACTGTCGCTGTCCTTTATAAATAACTGCCCACGTGCAGTAACACTGAACCTTAACACTGGGGTACACAACTTACCAAATGAAGTTAGGATCCCTCCAAAGAGGTGACAGAGACCAATGGTTGTGCAACAACACATTGAAAAATTTCGTGCTTTGTTGACAAATGCTTAAATCAACACAGTCAAAATAGCTCATCATTAGCTGCGCAGGGACAAGCACTCACACAGGCCAAGACACACAATGCCTTCTAGCACCTGCAGCAAAACGTTTCTGGGCAGCAAACCACAATCAATATAGATTAATCACAGTACTCAAATTCAAGATTCTCCCAGGTTTTGGGGGATGGTCTGAAGATCATGCATATTCTGAAAAAGATGCATGAACCCCAGATGATGGCAAATGTGAGAACTGTAGAATTCTCACTGGCAATTGCAAAATACATCAGTTTGACTTAATGCCAAATAATCTTTTTGTCTACTTATTGTTTCCCTATTTATTTATGCTTGTTATTGGTAGCATTAGGACACTAGCCACTCCCTTCCTCAGCTTCAGCTGAGTCAAAATTTGATCCTGGATTCTCAGGTTTGGAAGCCAGAGATTCCAGGTAAATTTCATGGGCTGAAACTGTGCATAACACCGGCTGTGCCAGGGAGGACTCCAAAGCTCTGTGGACTGAGAACCACTAACTGGCTGATGCAGAAAGGCTTCAGCTGGAGTAAGTAGCTACCACAGGGAAATACTTCCAGTCAGCATTTTTCAGAAATGGGACTGTAATGGTGCTGTTGTTATTGACTGCTCGGAGAGAAAATGGATTTCCTCAATTACACACAGAGCAGTTGTTTTCAAAATCCTGAAGGTTCCTGTATTAAGATTTAATTAAACCACACACAAACTAAGAAACCACTGAAGAAGCTAGACTCTGTGTGACTTCACCTATTCATAAACAGCTTTTCCTAATTATTGTAGTGCAACATATCATCTTTATTAATTCTCTTTAGTTTCAATCAGCGACTTACAGAACAAAACACTTCATAGGAAATCAATTCATACTCCTTCCTCATCAACCAAAGCGTAACTCCCACACCACACTATATGATTTTTCTCATTTATATTAAATGAATGCCCTTCACTGCACAGTGTTTTGTAATAGTAGCTCCTTTAGCTAAGAGAATTTCCTTGTTATTTGAGATATGGTTTTCTGTTTTACAGATTATCACGAACTGCACGTGCTTTTCTGATGCATACACAAGCATTTTAAAATGTGTATAACTCTTACAAGAAGACTTTACAAGAAATACTTCACAGAAATACTACTGCATTATAATAACCAAACTGAAGAAGAACATATCTATCAAAAAATAAACAAACTGAGCAGAGAACATAAACTTGCTTCACTGAAGGTCTAAGAATGGCACTGAAAAAGAGTGTTGCCCATTCCAAAGATTTCACAGAAGAAAGACAGCCCAGCGAGGAAGAGTCTACGCAGGGGAAGAGTCTGAGGAAGCAAGTGTAATTAGTACCAATTCAACCAGGAAGAGGTGGAGGTCTTCTCCGGAAAAAAAAAAAACATCACCCTCATACACTGTCTCTGTTGCACTCCAAAGCAGCAGATTCAACTCCTGCATCTCATAACCAAGTGGTCAGCAGTTGGCCTGGCTTTAGCACATTTCCTATCCTCTGAGTCCAACGCAGGATACAGCTCATAGATTAGGAACCACAGCTTTTCATCTGAGCTTTTATTTTATTTTTGAGATAAGTGGCTGGAACAACAGCAGACTATTATGTCAGTTTAAGTATGCATGCTACAGAACTACTGTTATTAACACACAGAAGGACACTTTTCCAGTACCACTACTATGCGGATACTTTATTAAGAAAGCAGAAACAGCCAGCTGGGCAACAGTAATCCTGGCCACACTGAATATCCAGGTTTCTAAAGGAAAGAACCAAGGTAATGACACAGAAAGAGTTGTGGCACCCTCCTCATGGCTTCATGGCAGATCAGAATGAAAAGAGACAGTACAGTGCTAACACCACCTTCACCTGTCAAGCCCACCATCAACAACCATCAGTGCAGGAGTTACCGATAACCTCGTCATCTGAAGTAGAAATAAAAGCATTGTCTAGTAATCCTTAAAATTTCCAGGGGGAAACTGGTAAAGGGGGAAAAGAGTGTTCCTTCAGAAGATATAACACCACTGTGAAAATATTGGATCTCATTCTTGGATACAGTTCACAGCCCTCCACTTCAGTGCTGCAAGGGACTGATGAATTACAACTTCTGATCTCCAGGGACAACCAAAAGAAATGCTGCTGAGGCCATAAAAATCATACCACCTTAAGAAAGCTCATTATCAGCATTCATAATCCTTAAAACCTTGTGGGGGAAGCCGCACACAGTTACAACTGAGGTGCTAATTCAAGAACAGTAATGCACTTGACTCGTTATAACCATTCCAGTTCATGGCAAGACACTTGAAACGTGACCATGAAGAGCAGAGAACAGTAGCTGTAACTCACAGAACTCAGACACACTAACAGCTTCCTCGTATCTCCCCGACAGAAACCCTCAGTCCCAGCCTGTCATACACCCTGACAGAGGTATGACGGCCCTGTCCATGTTAACACGCAACTACTATATTGTTGTTTGGTTTCAACAGCCTTCTGGTTACAACTAACTCATTGAAAAGGAATGCTACACAGCTACGTAAGCCCTGCCCAAATGTATTACACAACGCATTTAGCAGCATATACTTGTAAAAGCCTACCTGTTCTTCCAATTTTCTATATAGGTTTCGTCCTCAGTAGTATTATGTGGATCTCTATGGTTAAGCTTTACTTCTAATCTGGATTTAAAAAAAAAAGGCAGCAGCTATTACTTCTTTTAACTTTTTTTTTTTCCTTTTAGCCATTTTTTAGGATCTGTAGAAGATGTCAGGCTGAAACAACACTCATTCGCATGTATGTTATTTTCACGGGCACAGGCCAGCTTCAGAAAATCCATTTCCTTTTAACCAAGTTCTCAAATATTCAGTATCATTTTCTGTCCTTTAAATTTTCCTGTATAGAGTTGGCAGCTGCGCACTGACCAAAACTGAGATACTCAAAAAAAAAACAGCAACAGACATAAAAAAAAAAAATCACGAGTTTGTATCTGGAATGGGGTGACATTAAAAGGCAGTGCTAACTGTGAAAAGAAATATTGCTTATTGTGACATAACTTCTGCAAGAGGAATTCCAACCGCATCACTTCAAAAAACGCTAAAGTGGTCTAGCTATGCTAAGATATTAATGGGAAGGCTGGAGATGTTATCACCCCAAAAGTGTAGCTAATTTCAGATTAGGTACAGGAACTGCAGAGATACTCACTTCATAATGGAGAAGCCAAAAATATTTAAGTGATGCTTCACATCTATTTGAATAGCTAACGTGTTACAACTTTTAAATCAAGCTAAGCCTACTGATGTCATATGAACCCATCCAAGAATCATCTCAACTCATGAAAAATTGCTGGTGCTTGAATCTGCTCTCTCTTGTGTCAGTGTAACTGACTCAGACACACGTGTCTAAAAATCAAATGAGATTATGCTCATTTGGTGCATTTCCTGTACCTAGATGCATCTTGCTCCAGGCTCAGACACTCCCATTTTAGTTTCCACAGGCTTCTCCACAGATGCAACTAAGAAAAAAGTGACATCAAAAATTACTGCGAGGTCCCTTTGAAACATTCACCTTAACAAGACAATGTAAATGAAAACTTTCATTCTCTCCTTTGTGTGTACGTTTACATAACGCTACAACAGATGCTGTTTAGCACAGACTTCCTCTGAACTATGCAGTGTACCAGCTAATACACTGTTATACGTAAATTAACAGCAATTAAACTGTAAAGCAACTAACATATCAAATGAAGGGGTATTCTTCAGAAGTTAAGTTCACTCACTAGGCTGTTAAATTCCAGCACTGTGGCACAGCAAGGTTAGTTTCTCTTTTCTCCTCCAACTGCAGTTACGCTATCCAGTTTTCGCTTTAAAACCATTTCTAGCATGAAAAAAATCCCACTCTGTACTTCTTCCCCTACTCCTGTCTCTTTACTGTCCTCAACTAGAGGTTCCTGAGCAAACAGCAAGATAAAAAGAAGTTATTTTTAACCACGATCAGCTCAACAATCCAGTTTGCTGCATGACTCCACAAACAATGGCATAGATAAAACTAGGGGAATTACATACTGAGAACAGCAGTGGAAACAAACATCTGGCAGAAAAGCTTCATACCTCAAACACTGCCCACCTGAAGCACAAGGCCATAGTGTGACAAACACCTGGAACCAGCATCAACCAGCCAAGTTAAAGGAGAAGCAGTTCCACCTTCTCCCAGCAACAAGTACTCATTCTTGCCTGTGCACCGCCCTCTCCTTCACAGGTACCCGACCACTTGTGCAGCTGTAGAGTCAAGTGGGTGAGTAGAACTTAACCTACCCTGGGTAAAAACCCAGCCAAAAACACCCCACGACTTCTTACAGCTGCATGCAGCTTTCTGAAACACCCCCTTCAGGGAGCTCTGCCAGGGGAAGGAAGGGAGCAGCACAGGGGCAGGAGCAAGGCAGGAAGCATTCCTTCTTCCTGCAACCGTGCCAGTTGAAAGTCCACCCTTGGGATGCAGTTCCACAGCCGTGTGTCTGGATCCAAACAGGAACTGCTACAGTCACAGGAGCAGGCCTGTTGTGCCTCTTGCGTCAGCCCGGCCACTCAAATTTGTACGATGAACCCAGCCCCAGGAGCTATCTGGTCACTTTGTCCCATAGCAAAAGAGTTTTCAGCTGGATCACCTTCCTGAACTATCTCACTGCACCAGCACACAGGTTCCACCCCCTGCACAAGGGGACAAGAGAGACACTCCCGTTGAAGCCAGGGGACTAGAAAGCGTGGGACCGTGACAACCCTGACAGCTCCTGTGCTGCAGAGCAGCAGGCTCCGTTGTGCTGCTGAGCTGGCTTTACTCCCTCACACCGTCTGTGCTTTCAAATCGGTCCCATCTCGACCCATGTTTTTAAATCCTTTCTAACTATAACAGTTAGTTTAGTTAATCTGCTTTTTGCTGAAGACCCGCCTGGACAAGGTCCTGTGCAGCCTGCTGTAGGCAACCCTGCTTCGGCAGGGGGGGTGGACTAGATGACCCACAGAGGTCCCTTCCAACCCCGAACATTCTGTGATTCTGCGAATGCTAAACTATTACAAATACGTTAAAGGGCTAATCAAAACACCTTTAACACGTAACTCCTCACAAGTTCTAAGTCACATGGCATCAACTGTTTAATTACCAAGCAACAGAAAGAGCAGATGAGAGAGCTACTTTGTTGTTACATCACAATTCTTTAATGTGAAATGTTTTGCTTCTGTTCTTAAGTATTTAAAGAAAAGTAAAGCTCAGAGTAGACAAACAGGACTCCAAATGACTTTAGGAAGCCATTAACTTGTTTCTCAAAGGCCTGTATATCCCCAAGACACTGGCTACCATGATTTGCTTCCCAGAGATGACAACATCAGGATAAGCAGGATCCAGACCTTATTATCCCTTAGTATCCTCTCCTTTGACCAGCAGTCACTAATGCTCTGAACTATCATTCATTTTTCAGTGATATCACGTACTTCTTTCATGAGTCGATGCAAATCATTGAATCACTTTGTTCCTCAGTTGCCCGCAGTATATTCTTCAACCCTCAGAGTGGGGGGTAATGTGAATTCATCCATGACCATACAGGAGATCCTCACAAGCTTCAGCTCCTCTGCTACGCGCACAACTGATGCTCAACACCCAGGCTGCGATCCCCTTCGCGCGTTGAGCAGTTCGATGCAGCACCATTTACCCAGCTCCTCTCTGCTTCGACTGCGGTGCAAACCACCAACAAAAGCACCGCACCGGGAACAACAGACGTTAAATTAACTCAGAATAAAAGACGCCGTCATCAGCCCACCATAACGAACCCACAATACATCAAAGGCCAGCAGAGGCCCAAGGCCCAAAGCCACCGCGGTGACCCCTGCTCGGGGCCCGCGGCTGAGCCACGAAACGCACCGCCGTCTGTGGAGCCCAGAGCCCCGA